ATATATAAAATATGGGTCTTGGTTTTGATTTACTAATGCGGAAAAAACCATTCCAATGAAAATCAAGTTTCATATGTCAGTTTTGAAAGTAGTATTTGGGAGAGTTGTTGGGTTTTGTTTGTTTTGCATCTATAGCACTGGTTACTTTGAACAAATAAATAAAGCTTTTGTAGTTGCCTCCTTTATCAAAAAATCCTGAGTTCAATCCCCGGTTCAAAAAAAAAAAAAAAAAAAAAAAAAACATTTTCTGAACAGAGTCTGGTAAACTATGGCTACTTGCTTAATTTCATCCACAAACTTTTATCTGATCCACAGCTTAAAATGGTCTTAGCATGTTTTAAATAGTTGTTTAAAAACACAGAGAACATAAAATTGAGGTCTTACATGATTCATAAAACATGAAATATTTACCATCTGCCCCTTCACAAAAAAGTTCGCCATTCCATGTTCTAGAGTATTTACTAAGTATTTGCTTTCAAGACAGAAATATTTTCTTTTACTCTATAGAATAATATTCCAGGAGCTGAGATATACTTCAATATTAGAATATGTGGTTACTATGTGTGAGATCCTGGATTTGATCCCTAACACAAAAAACAAAATGAGGAAAAAAAGAATTATCCTCTTTCAGTCTAAAGAGCATCAAATAGTCTTCATAATTCATAAATGAATTTTTAAACAAGGAATTTAACTTGTGTATAATTTTTTAAAATTTTCAATCCTCGACACATATTGTACAAAATATTTTTAATTTTTTTTTTTTTTTTTTTTTTTTTTTTAGCAGAACCAGGGATTGAACTCAGGTCCTTGCACTTGCCAGGGAAGCGCTTACTCTACTGAGCCATCTCCCTGGCCCTAAATGTTTTATTCTTCTTTCCTAGTTTTAAAAATCAAGTAGTGATAAAAGAGGTTTCCTATTTTTACCCCTATATTTTCTTTCTTTCTTTTTTTTTCCGGTACCAGGAATTGAACTCGTACCCTGTGCTTGCCAGGCAGGCGCTTATTCTACTGAGCTATCTCCCCAGCCCCCACCTACTCCTATATTTTCATGAACATGACTTTTATATAAAAATGTTTAAAAGTATTTTATTAAGGTTTGCTAGTCTTACTGTTTCTATTACTCAAAGTACTGTTGCTACCATTGCAGTAAACACAAACCATAACAACAGAAAAATTTAAATAAGTCACTATTTGTTTTTATACATGATAAAATCTAAAATCTGGTGTAAGTTAAAAGAAACAGGACACATTTTCACTTCACGGCTGGTTATGTTACCATGACAAGTGAAAAGAATACATTAACATTTACTTTCTATCAAATCATAAATGACACCACAAAAAGACATAAGTAAAAAAAACCCAAAGAACTAGTATTAGTCTGTATTTCCTAAGCCATACATGAACATTAAACTCACAGAATAAAGGCTGCAACATTACAAGATAAGCGTCATAAAATGTCCCTCTTAGGAGAGTAGAAAGTAACATGGTCTCACTTGTGAAATGTGATTGATTGAAGACTCCATCCTTCGTAACTGGGATGCCTGGATATCCAGCATTTGCAGGACATTGTTGGCCAAGGTGTTTATCAGGTAGGCGACACTCGCTAACGACTGGGTGGTGTAGGCTTTGGTTTCCTCTAGTGCTCGCTGTTTATCTGCTGACTAAGGGAAAAACCAAAACAGTAATCATTACTTCAAAGACAAAACTCTTTCTAGACAACTAATCTATAGAAGTACTTGATAAAAATGTTCTGAAAACTGTTTAAGAATCAATATAAACCCAAAACTAAACTACTGACTGAATTCACTGATTATTTTCCTATTAAAAAGATACTTCCTTATAAAAATGCAAATAAAATCCCAAACCTGTTATTTAAAAAATGAGATCCAATGGTCATTTCAAGCAATGACAGCACATACATACATACATTCTCAAGCTCATTGCTTAGAAAATAGCACTGATTTGAATGTACAAACTCGTGGCACAATTTATTTTCCTGAATTTCTTTCCTTCCATTCATACATTAAATGGGACTATATATGTCTGATTAAAGCATTAATAAACATAAAATAATAAAAAAGTTAATGACAATAATGATAAACAAAGTAACAAAATTCTTCAAAGCATTTTAAATGTAACAACCCTATGGGACCCACCACCAGAACCTCCTCCAGGGGACAGGCCTGGTTTGGGATGCTGCAGCAGAACTCCCTGCAGAGATGCTAGAGGCCAGACCCACCCAGCTAATTCAGGAGCAGAACATATTGCCAGTGGGGCACAGCGGGTTCACTTCCATGGGCTGCAGCAGGAAGAAGCCAAGCACAGCAGCCAGACCCAAGCCAGGTCCAGAGAGACAAGATCAAACTTGGCAGATCTGGACCCAGAAAGCTGAAGCACACTGCTAGACCCAGATCTATAAGAGCAGGGGGGTGGGCCAACAGGTAATCAGGATGACCTACTCTGCCTAGAAGACTCCAGGTACATCACGGAGAGGTGATCAGATAGAACTTAGAGGAACTAATTTGAATACAAATTCCCAATTTAGTATCTGCTTAGCTATATAGTCATTTGCTCTTATAGTTTATAGTCATAATGTTTGCTCTTATAGAGATAGCTCAGTAGAATAATCGCTTGACTGGCAAGTGCAAGGGTCTGAGTTCAATACCCGGTTCCGAAAAAAAAAAAAAGAGCATGGAGCAAAGTAGTTTAAGTCTTGCAAGAAAACAAATTCCAACCCAGACTGATATAGCCTACAAAACTCTCTCAAGTTTAATGGAGAAATGAAATACTTCCATGAAAAGAACTAAAGAAATTCATGACAACTAAGCCAACCAACCCTACAAAGAATACTAAAAGATATTCTAGAGACAAATCAAAATGAACACAACTCCATGAATGATAATGGAAAAAACCCACCAAATAGGGCAAACAGTTAAACGCAGGAGAAAAATAGATAACAGCAGGTAAATAATACATCAAGCGTAAGTCAATACATCTCAGTTATAACCATCAATGTAAATAGACTCAATTCATCAATTAAAAGAAATAGACTGGCAGAGTGGATCAGGAAGCAAAACCCAACAATATGCTGTATACAAGAAACTCACTTAACTCATAAAAAATTCACAAGCTGAAAGTCAAAGGATGGAAAAAAAAATACTATATGCCCCAGGACCTCAGAAAAAAGCAGGGGCAGCAATCCTGCTCCCAGACAATTTGAGCATCAAAGCAAGAATTATCAAACAAAATAAAGAAGGCCAGGGCCGGGGAGATGGCTCAGTAGAATAAGCGCTTCCCTGCCAAGCGCAAGGACCTGAGTTCAATCCCCGGTTCCGCAAAAAAAAAAAAAAAAAAAAAAGGCCACTACATACTGGTTAGAGGAAAAATCCAAGAGGAAGAGGTAACAGACATAAATACGTACACACCAAACACAAGAGCACCCAGCTATATAAGACAAATCTTAGTTTGTTTGGTTTTGTTTTTTAAATCTAAGATATAAGTTGTTTTATATATTCAATAAAATTGGAAAATAGGCAACTGTTTCAATAAAACTGATATAACAATGGTCATGCTTTAACCAGTTAATCAGCCTATTTTTGTTTTCTGTTTTTTACAGTACCTGGGATTGAATCAGCCTGTTAATGACAATAAAGACATTATATTTTATTTAACACAAAAGAAACTGAAGGGCCAGCCAAATAGTTCAGGGGGATTAAAGCACCTACAAACAGGCGCAGGGACCAGGAGTTTGATCCCCTGGCTTGCCATACTGGCCCTGCCCCCGGGGTACACTGAGACAGAAATTGAGACTGGGCATGGTGGCGCATGCCTGTGATCTCAGCTTTCGGGAGCTGTAAACAGGAGAATCACTACAAGTCTGATCTAGTAGTGAGACCCTGAACACCCTGTAGACCCTTCCCTAATATATATATTCTAAAAAGTGCCACATGGCTGACACTGACAAAGGTTCTACAATCTGAGGTACAGGATCTCAGGGTAAAACCTGAGGGGACTTCACTGACCTTATCAGACCCAAAAGCTACAACTCTTGTTGCATAGGTCCTGCTTTACCTTGGTCTTAACCATCCAGAAGGAAAGTATAAAAACGAAATAAAGAAATAAAGCTATGCTGTTATGCTGAGCTGTGGGAGACTCAGGTCAACAATTTCTGACATTGCCAGTGAAGCAGAAGACCCAATACTATTATGGGATACTGGACTCTTTTAGAATATTTTGCTGAGTTTACACACCTATAATATTCAAATAACAGAACTTAACAAAAAAAGGGTATACAGATGAATGTCCATTTTGTATCTGTGTATTCAGGGTGGTAAGGATAGATATATAGTTACATTCTCTTAATGAATAGAGTGATTTGTTATAATGGTGTTTGTAAATAGGATGTCGAGTCCGCATCTTGTACAGCAATTAACCAATAAGAATGTATGCAGTGTTAATTTAAAAAAAAAAAAAAAAAAAGTGAACAGCACTAAAACAGAGGTTGTTTTTCAAGTTTCCAAACTCCCTGAATAACTATGATTGTATTCTTTTGGTTATAACCGTATTTTATGGTTCATGCATTAAAGGCTATATTTCCATTTAAAAGAATAACACAAAATTTTTAAATAAGTGAAATAATAATCATAAATTCATAGAGGAACATTTTAAACTTTGCTCCAGGTAAACAGTTTTATTAGTCAAGAAAGACTCTTAACCTTGCTGGAGCTCAGCTGGGCAGCAGCTGCTTCTGCCACTGCCTATAGAAATCAGGTACACAGAGGACAGCTGTGGGGACCTCCTCTGCTGAACTGTTGCTGTCTGTCTGACTGGTAGCAGGAGCCTTGGTGAGCTTTACCCTGCCTCCCCCACCATCCAGAGAGCCTTTCAGAGCTTCAGCCTGCCTTCACCATCATCACCATCATCAGATCCTTCCCCAAACTGTGGCTCCTCCCCACCCCCCACCAAGATTCTTCCTAAGCTGCGGCTCCTTCCCGCCCACCCCCACCAAGGTAGAAGCCACACTGAACCCCATGGTAAGCCTACCCCGCCCACCTATCCTCAAGAAAGCCTTGCTCCCTCACACCCTTTACCCTACTGTTGCTGCAGAGTGAATGTAACATTGAGAGCTTTGAACATGTCAAAAGGAAGGAGAAAAAGACAATCTTAGACCTCCAGCTTACCCAAAACAAGTCCCTGAGACAGAACTTAGAAGTCACGTACCTGAAATTTTGGAAATGACAGAAACTGAAGTAAAAAAAACAAGTCCATCAGGCTATGAGGAAATCAGATCAGAAATAATCTCTCAGGTATAAAAAGAAATGACAACAGTCATGGAACAATTGCTCAGTACATCTAAAGAAGACACACATAAAAAAATAGAATAGGAAAATGATGGAAACATTGAATGAACAATATTGGAATGAACTAGAATGCATGAAACAGATTCAAACATATCCAGGGCATTAAGAATTCCATTGAAGGGATCGGGAAGATGGCTCAGTGGAATAAGCGCTTCCCTGGCAAGCGCAAGGGCCTGAGTTCAATCTCCAATTCTGGAAAAAAAAAAAAAAAAAAGAATTCCATTGAAGCCTTTTTACCAAGATGGCACCTTTGGAGAAGAAGAAAGCCCCTGCCCCTCCCAAAGCTGAAGCCAAAGCAAAAGCTTTTAAAAAGGTCAAGAAGGCCATGCTGAAAGGCATCCACAGCCACAAAAAGAAGATACGAACATCACCAACCTTCCACCATCCTAAGACACTGCAGCTCCAGAGACAGCCCAAATACCCTCGGAAGAAGACCCCCCAGAAGAAACAAGCTAGACCACTATGTCATCATCAAGTTCCCCCTGACCACAGAGTCAGCCATGAAAAAGATCAAGAACAACAACACACTCATGTTCACTGTAGATGTCAAAGCCAATTAACACCAAATCAAACAAGCTATGAAGAAGCTCTATGACATTGATGTTGCCAAGGTCAATACCCTAATGAGAGCTGATGGAGAGAAGGCATATGGCTTCTGATTATGGTGCACTGGATGTTGCCAACAAAATTGGGATCATCTAAACTGAGTTCTGCTGGCTAATTTTAAATATATACTTTTTTTCTAGTTAAAAAAAAAAAAGAATTCCATTCAAAACTGTATGAATGAAACAATATAGAATTTCACACCTTGAAGATATAGTACTGCAGGTAGTGAACACTAAAGGAAAGATCTCTCAATAATAACAAGGAACCAGGAAATAACAATGTAACAGCTGCAAGATGATGCAAAGAAAAATAATATAAAACTTATAGGTATCCACGAAACAGCTGGATTCAACACAAATGAATTAAAGAATGTTTGCAGAAGTAGCAGCAGAAAATTTCCCAGAATGGGAAAAGAATCTGACCTACAGAGAAGTGAACAACCACTTCACAAAGAACAGAAAAGAACAAGCAGGCAGAGCAAGCAATCAAACAGAGGGGGACAAACAGGGATCCTACAGTAGGAAAACAACATGACAAAAATAAGCCAATATATATATCAGTTATAACCATGAATGTAAATGGCCACAATTCAATTAAAAGCATAGACTCCAGTTAGCCATAATCAAAATAAATCTACATCCAGACACATCCAGATCCCAGTAATTCGGCAAAAGAACAGAATATTAAAAGCTGTT